CCCCCTTCCCAGGAGCCTCTTTTCCTTCTTTTCCCTGGGCTAACACCACCGTCGGCGGCTAGATTCATGCCCGTCGATAAAAACATAGCCCCCTGACGTCACACCCCTTCCTTCCGACCTTCATATCCGGCCGGCCGATCCACTTCGCTTACGTCCGATATAATAAAAGCAACGCCCCAGCGATATGCAATACCCAAGTACTGTGTATAGGGCCCCTCTTTCCGAGCACCTTTCTGGCTACTTTCTTGATGTAATGCCACGTTTTACTCGACAGTTTTGTTGAGAGAGGGTAGAAAAATATCGAAAATTTGCGAAGATATTTTTTTATTGTTGCTTTGGCCATTTAGTTTGGCTTTAGGCGGCTACTAATTTTTTGCATTTTTGTCTTGTTGTTTTCTTTCAGACGAGGAGTTTGGCCAGAAGACGGTGTCGGTGTTGCTCGACGGCCAGGAGTCTGACCTGGAGATCGTGGACCATCCGGCCGCGGAGATGTCGGTACGTGTGGTCCCCCCACCCAGTTATTTACAACTTGCAAGCACAAGTGCCCCGCTGTCAGATCGCGATCCGCAGAAAAGAATCCCTGCTAGAAATCTTGAAATCAAGAGGCCGGGAAGTATCAATTTTGCCTCATAGACTCAAATTTGAGTCAATCTTATGAAAAGACTGGTGCAAAGCCAGGACGGGATTTTGCGATACTGTTTTAAGACATCTTCACTGGGAAAAAGGGTAGAGGACTTGATAACTTTCTAAAGGTGTTAAATTATGATGCCTTTGTAAAGGCACGAAGGGCACAGAAGAGTGTCCAAATGCATTAAAATTTAGAAACTTTGGGCAGTTTTCATCTGCCTTTGTAGGGGTGCTAATTTTAATGCCTTTGTAAAGGCATTAGAACCCTTTGAATCCTACCTTTTCTTTCCAGGGTTGGTTCTGTTTAGACCAATAATGTAACAGGTGGCTGATTTACCCCGCGCACTGTAGTTAGACTGTACCGCACGCAGGAGTGCGGGCTGGCTTGCCTGCCTACCACCCCTGTCCACGGCGCCTTACGGGCCGCGGGTGAGTAGGCAACCCGCCCCCACTCGTGCGTACAGTACAGTCTAACTACAGAAGTGCGCGGGGTGAATCAGCCACCTGGTATATGGCTACAAGATTTTCACTCTTCCCTGGTCTTTTACACAAGGCGCTGGCGGGGGAGGCAGGCTCCCGCTGCCGGCGCCGCGTTATATGACGTGCGGGTATAATGTATC